AAGCCGGGAAGCCTTTGCACGCGGACCTGAGCCCGATCAGGCCTCCACCCTTCCGGTACAAGCCTGTCGAAAAGCTGCTGGGAACCCAGTTAGAGGACACCGCCGACCTAGGCGGAGTCTCATGCGGCAGCAGTTTGAAGAGAGCATGGACCTCGGCCCGAGTCGGGGCTCTCGATGAAGAAATGATGCGTGCGAACTCCTCGGCTTCAATGTGTTTCTTAACCCCCCTAGGTGCTGCCTTCGGTTGCGGTTGCCCCGAGGAGTCTGGCGACGGCAACAAAGTGGAAGGAGGTGCTTCCGACTCGATCAAGCCAACCGCCTCTACCCTATCTGTAACCGCCTCTACCCTATCGGAAACCACCTGATGCAGCCCCTGCGGCACTTCACACAAATCCTGATGCTGCAGCCCCTGCGGCACTTCACACAAATCCTGATGCACCTCCTGCGTCGCCTCGTGGGATTCCTGCATTGGACCTGCCTCACCTGGAACGGAGCTGTGCGGCGCTGACCCAAGTCCCCCCTGCGAAGCGGAAGCAAGCACAGCATGCGCAAGCCACTCACACAACAGAGGAGGATAGGCTGCTGATGACTCGGTCGCCCAGCGGGAGCCTTCTCGGCCTGCAAGTACTTTGTCGTGTTTCCCGTGCGGGCAGCGTGGCGGCAACGGCCCCACGTAGCGATCGCTGGAGTCGAAGCGTGGCCATGAAGCAAAAGGCGGAGGCTGCTCGACAAAGGCCCGTAGATTAGTGAGAAGGCGTGTAGGTTTGGAAGTGGGAGCCTCAAAGCCGCATTGAAAGAAAGCAAAAGTGATGGCCTGAGTGGAAACCTGGAGCTCACGCAGAGCTGGTAGCTGCCAAATGGAAGCCGGTAACTCGTGATCCGGCGTTGCGCCGAGATCCTCCGGGTGCTCCAGGACATACTGCCATGCAAGTTGACATGCCGTCACGGTCTGATCAAGAAAATAATTAGCCTGCTCCACCTGCTGCGCGTGCAAATTGCTTAACCATGGAAAACCTCTAGGATAAAATGCTGAACGTAGTGGCTTTGGCCCGGGGTGGCGATGCCGGACTCTGGAAAATGTCTCACAAGGAGGAGAGGCAATGAGGATCCAATCCCCTTCGCCAAGCAATTGAAAGATGTGCGGCCACAAGCCTTCCTTAGTCAAGTCATGCTCCGTGGAGCGCTGAAGATCGAACTGAAGAAGATTAGTGACATTGCCCAACGACTGAAGGTAAGAGCCCACATCACCTTTGCGATGGGGCCCCGCGAAAATGTAGAGCACACGTAGCCCGCTCGGACTGTACAGCTGAGGCTGGTATGCGATGTGATCTGATGTCTCAATGGTAGAAACCGAATCATGCGATAGTCACTCCTTGGGCTTGCCGGTCTTAAGCTTATGCTCGGTCGCTGAGTGGGGCTGATAACAGCCCTTGACCCGGCACACGTGCAAGCGTTCGCATGAAGGATTGGTGCAGCCCTGCGAGTTGAATGCAAAGCAGATGTCGCGGCCTTCCGGCGTGCGCCAAACCAACTGAAGGCCCTTAAGTGCCGGGTCCGAGGGGCTTTTGCCGTTCTTGCCCCCCTTGGAGTCTTTGCCCTTGCCGCCCTTTCCTGTCTTGCCTCCGTCCTTGCCCTTGCCCTTGCCTTTGTGCCACTTGCGTGGTCGCTCAATGATGGACAAGGCGAGCGGCGTCGTGAAGTAGGTCTCCTTAAGCTCCGCTGAAGAAATGACTGAAGCCAGAGCGCCTGCCAGAGTATAACCCTGATCATTGACCAGACGGAAAGCCTCCTTGCGCAACCGGTGCTCATAGGCCAAGACTACTTCCCAAGGTGGCGAAAGTGAAGGCACATCGGCTGGCTGATGAGAAGTAGGCACTGTGAGCTGCGCGACCTTTTCGCCAAGGATGTAGTTCACAAAGTGGTCGAAGTCAGACAGCTTGAGATCCTGAAGCCACTGCTTGGATTTAAAGCGGGATGCCATGCACAGCCATGTGAAAGCTTCCACGCGAAGGACCTTGCGATAAGCTTCTGTAGTAGTCGGGAGCTCACTCTTGGATTTGTGCTGAGTAATATGAATTCGCCCCGAAGCGTCAAGGCTGGACTGGATGCTCGTGGTGAGCGTGTTCTTCTTCGAAGTTATGGCATCCAAGGTTGAAGCCTGGGGCTCATTGGCTTCGCACTCCTCGCACTTGAGAGCGAGGTACTCAGACGATGGAGTCTCCGACTCTCCCAGCTGCCCGTGAACGGCCGCTACCGCCTTGAGCATGGCTTGCCTCTCTGTGACTTGCAAGATTCGCGGCTGGCCTAACACTTTCGCCTCTGCTCGCGTTTCCGTCTCTTTGCTGATTACGTCGCGTGCAAGTTCCCATGCAGCGACGACCCCCGCGATTTGTTGCCGCCCTTCAGCAGCCCCATCATCAAAACCAAAGTCCGCCTTCCCAGCAGCCCGAGCTTCCGGCCGGGAATCGGCGATTGCCTGGAATCGCCTAAGTGTTGTATGTCGTTGCACAATGCGATACTGGGCATCCAGAGACAAGCCAGCTTCTCCGAGCACAAACTGCAAGTCGCTATCTGCTTTGGTTATGAGCTCGCGCTTCTCGGCATCTGTGGCGGCCATTGCGACAACAGTAACTAACTCCAGCTACTCCTGATGCGAAGGCCGCGCCCCGGCCTGTGGCCCTGTAGGACTTGGATTGCTAGCCGCCCTGAGGCCTTTAGCTGCACTGCGATGTGTCCACCCGTCGCCCTGAGGTCTGTGACAGGATGCAGAATCCGTCGGCACCTCACGGCCTGCGCCGAGTGAGACTTCCTCCTGCTTGAACAGCGCCAGCACGTGCACTTAATCAGCATGAACTGTTATCGCGAATCCACTTCAAGACGCCCTGAGAAAAGTCAGCATGGACTGTTATCGTGGATCTACTTCAAGGCGCCCTTGCATAAGCAACTCATGCCAACTTCTGGCTAGGACTTGCAGGGCACAGCCTATGCACAGCAGTCGAAAGCATCTTTTGCCTTCACATCGACTCGCTCCCACTGTCACTGCTGGAGGGGTCTGATTCCTCCTCTCCGGCCTGAGCCTTCATTCTTGCTTTGCAATCTTTGCAAATGTTATCGACGTCCTCCGCGCCGACATGATTGACAAATTTTACATCGTAACAATTCTCAGGTTTGACATAGCAGCCCAACATGTGCAAACGCCTCAGGCCTGTGGTGCGAGAGGTAACGATGAAGTAATTCCCCCGGCTGCCTGGCATCGAGACCTGCTCGACCGGAGAAGGTGGTGCCGCAACACCCACTTCCAATGCCAGAGTTGGCCACGATCCGCCCAAGCCTTTGGATCCCTCGAGGAGGGTGTGACGGCGACGAACCTGAGATTCGCTCTCCCCCGCCTTAGCTGCATAGTCCGTCAAAGCCTTGATGGAATCCACCTCGATGTAGTGCTTAGGCTGTCCGGTGACAAGAGAACAAGCAATGTGACTCTGGAGACGATGCACAACCTGCCTAGAAGTGCGAATGTAGGTTGCAGAACCTTCGCCACCTACCTTCCAGCGACCCAGATAATCAAGCTCCCTGGGGTCGACATCGATGGCCGCTCCGACCGAGCTAAGGAAGTTCCTCGCAGAATGGCCCGTAAAATGACTGGAAGTGTATCCTGGGAGCAGCGGACGCGGATCATTGGCCTTCCAGGTGCGCCCCTCACGCTTGGGCGTCTTCAACTCACTGAGAACTTTGCGGAAGTAAAGGGCCACCGTGGAGGAAGGCACCGACTTCTCAAGGGGTTCCGTGAAACCTTCATTGGCCTTCAAAACCAAATAATCCCTCTCAAAATCGAAATCCTTCCAAAGTGCATATCCGACCTTCAGCCAATCATGCCCTGTCAGAGAGATACTCCGTTCCACGAAGACCTTGACGGTGTGGGTCCTTTTGTCGGGCCCTGTAGTCTTGGACCGCGCGAGATCAATGCTAAGCCCTCGCTCGTCCAGAAGCATGGTCTGCGGCAGGAGCCCCTGAACATCATCAGCCCGAAGCGATCCCCAAACCATCAATAAGCAAACAAAGCCCAATGCTCTCAAGTAACTAGGCTCCCCAGGCGTGCAAACGAAGATCTCACATGCGAGGATGATAGCAACGGTGAGCATGCTGGCTGGCTGCTCCGGCGGTGCCGCCGAAACCAAATCGGCTGTGTAACTTTTGAGCTGCGCCTGCCATGTGGGATCCTGGGATATCTGCTGCGTGGACGGCACGCGCCCTACACCTTCAATTACACTGAGAGAGGCTTGCAGGCTTTCGAGAACTGTCTTTCCACATCCTTCCTGGAATCGTTCATTGGCATAATCTAGCACATCAGCTACCCCTTCCGGATAACTTCTGCCACGGCTATAAAGCAACCATTCCCGAAACTTATCCCAAGCCCTAAAGCGATTCCTCAATGTCTTGGATCGACGGGTCCCGAACAGCCGTGGCCAGGCTTCCTCGGCATTGCTGACCCCTGCAAGCACCTTGCACACCGGCAGTTGCGCCTCCTGCATGATGGCTGCAAGACGCAATGCATACTCCTGCCGAAGTCGTATCTCTTCAGTGGCCCTGGCACCGCGATCTACGACCCTATCAGTAGCTAACTTCCGCTTGCGAAGAACCGGAAGCAACGCAAGTGGACTCTGAAGTGCGATCTGATTGTAATGCTCATGCAAGCTAAGGCCAGTTCCCGGGACACTGGGCAAGCACTCTGTCAAGCGCCTCCTTGCTTCCCTGCGCCCACTCGCAACTGTGCGGGCATTGTCTGCATGCCATTCAAGAAGTGCATCCGCAATCAATTGCAGGCTACTTTCAAGAAGCGTGTTATCGCAAGCCCTAAGCAATGATACAAGCTCTTCCCTCGTGTCGAATGAGGCATACAATTTCTCAGGCGTGCTAAACCACTCTTCAAGGCGGTTGCGGTATGGTGGCACTAAAGCGGGCCATCCGAGTCCTGTGCCACTCATGGCCGACCATGGGCCGCAGGGCCACCCTTCTACCGCTTTCGTAGTCCTAAGGTAAGGAGCTACCGTGAAACTAAGCTGCCCAGTCATGCGTCACAACGATGCTTGTGAATGCTAGCCCCATAGAATCAAAATTTTCCCTGCTCCTGAGCCTGAGCTCTGCGTCCATGATAAGCATTGAGATTGTGCGCGCACTCAGCTTCTGGCTCAATTCTGAAAAGCGCACGATGCGTGAAATAAAATAGAAACTCAAAACTGCTAGATAAAACTTTTCTCTTTGAAACTGCGGAGATCTTCGAGTTGGTCTAGTCGAGGGAACTCCTCCTACCCACAGAGACACCCCGCCCCGCCCACCCAAAACGTTTACTCTAAACAGCGCCGCCGGGCAAGCCCGGCAGGGCAGGACCGCTCTTCAGGGGCGGGCGCTTCCTCCTGGGTTTTGCCTTGGCAGTGGTTCTCCTCGATGTGCTTCTGAAGGTCCGCCCACCTAGCGAAGGGATGCCCGCATCCACGGCAACGTGGCATGCCGTCAGTGCCATGTTGTTGCCTGTCGAACACCGTGGGTGCCGCCTCCATTCTGGTTTTGCTGTGCATACGACCTTTGTGTTGCCGCAGGGCCGCATCATTGTCAAAGGATTGCCCGCAGTGCTCACACGTGAGCCTGTTCGGCGTGCCAGCAGCCTTTGCATCCGTAGCAACAAGTTGCTCGAAAACCTCAAGGAGCCGACATTCACGCTGGACGATATCCTGCGTGCCTGCGTGAGACGTACATCTTGTGGACTAAGGGTCTGGCGCAGAGAAGTGGAAGCCTCAACGACTCGACTGTGGACCTGAAGCAGCATCTCATGTATTTGAGGCAGCCGTAGGCGTTGCAGTAGACGCAGATCACTCTCCTCAGTGAGGTGTCTCGGACTGCGGGCAATGGCTCGAATCTGCCTGACCATCAGGACCCGAATGAGATCAAAGGATTTCCTGGTGTATCCTGAAGAAGACAAGGAATACAGAGTGGCCGGCAGGACAATGGTACGCCACAGACGCAGCCTCTTGTCGAGGGAGAGAGCACGGTGTGACATAAGCGTAGTGCGCATGCGTGAAAAGGCCGCTTGTCCTGCATGTCTGCGATGTTGTGCATTGAGCATCTCGTAGTTGCCATATGAGATCACGGCTCCTAAGTAGATGTGGTCGCGCTTGAGCGGCAACGTCCATCTCTCATCGAGAACCAGCAGAGTGCCTTTGGGCTGCAGGCGTTTGCGCGTGATTTTGCGCATCAGGTGTGGAACTTGGACACCCTCCGCCTTGAGCAGGCATACTGTTTTATCCCGACTAATGTAGAAACCGAGGTCTTCAAGAATGCTGAGTGCACGTCCTGCCTCAACACGGGCCTTGAGCAGGCCTTCTCGATCCTGACACTCCCATCGCAGGTGTGTGTCATCCGCGAATCCCAGCAGGTGCTCTAAGCTCCACTCCGTACCAAGTTGTTAGTCAAGAACATGTAGCACATAGGTGTACAGACAACACCACAATGTAGGTGACAACTTGCATCCCTGGCGGATGCCAGTACTAGAATGATACTGCTCAGACGCGTCGGCCATGTCAATGTGAAAAACCGTATTCTGTGTCCACCTGAGAATCACATCGGTCAAGTCATCTGGCACTTCAAGAAATTGCAAGGCACGCACCAAAAGTTGGCGGTCTGCACGGTCAAACGCTTGAGAAAAATCCACACTGACCTGGAGGCCCCCTGCACACGATGACCTCTTCTGTCCCGCTCGTAGTTCGTACCAGGAGCGAGTTTGGGCTCGGGCTGCAGTTCGAACTCTGTCGCAGTGCTCATAGACCACCGTGAGGGCCTGTTGCGGGGATCTGTTCGCTAGATAGCCATAAAGTGGCAATGTGGCAGTTGCCTTCAACAGATATGGTTCGAGGTGCCTCTTCAGAACACCGCTGACTGCTTTGCCCATTGGGTCTAGTAGCGCGATGGGCCGTAATGATGCGGGGTCGTCGTTGGCCTTGCCAACTTTATGCAGGAACACCAGCCATGCCGCCGACCAATCATCTGGGACCCACGCGTGATCCTCTCGCCAGCTTGAGAAAACCTTATCTTCCATGAACTCAGCAACTGGGGAGGAGGCCAGTTTCCAGAAGGCATGTGGAGCGCAGTGTGGCGGGGCAGCCTTGCTCGCCTGAAGATCGCGTAGGGCTTGCTCAATGTCCTGCTGCAGCACGGTGTAGCTGGAAGCCTGTCCCGAACGAAGGAGCGACCCTGGTGCGCCATTCACCGATCGCCAGAAATCCTGTAGGGCACGGGCTTCCTCAGCCGGAGTAAGCAGTTTGCCCTCCTTGGACCGCAGCTGCGATCGTTTTCGTGCTTGTTTGGGTGCCACTCTCCGAACGAGATCAAAGAGCGCCTGACTGCAACCTGAGCGTGTGTGGGCATCCGCCTCCTGAAGCAACTGTGCCAACCTGGTCCGGCGTAGTTGACGAGAGTGCTTCTGAACCATGCGGTGCATTTTCAAGAAACGAACCCTATGCTTCCAAGCCTGCACCATAGCACGAAGTCGCCCCACACGAGAGCGGTTGGCCTCCTCGAAGGACCTGCGCATGAGTCGATAATGTTGCCACATGTCCTTGATGCCGCCGATGTGTTGCGCTCCAGTCCAGGGCGGCGGCAAGCTGGGTGGTCGTTGAACATGAAAGATCTTTCCCCCGACCTCCAGCAGCAGTGCGTTCAACTTCTTGGGCTCATACTTATCAACAGCCTGCAACGCGACGGCAACCTGCTCTGTGTAGCGCTCGGCCAACTGTGGTTGCTCCTTGATGGCCTGTGAAAGAAGGCGGCAGCGCCATCGAGGCCATTCGAGCTTCTGCTGTGGTTTCTGAGTCCTGAACCTTCGTATGGAAAACCGTGACCAAACCGGGAGATGCCTTCCACCTTTGCGCCAGCGCGCAACCTGCCAATCACGCAGAAGTCCAGACTTGTAATCACTGTGCTTGTTCTGCCTAACAAACATGTAGTCAATGAAGGAGCGGCGTACCGGCTTGCACCCCTCATGGATGTAAGTGTAGCTGTTCTTCCTGCCGAATGTGTTGACAGCAAGCAATGAGAAGTCCTGCACAATCGCCACGAGGTCCTCCATATCCGGTGAAGGCGTCGTCGGTGTAAGCATGCCCGGTCCTGTGTGAGACTTCAAGGTGGTCAGATTGCAATTGTAGTCACCTGCAGATACAAGAGTGCTGCCTTGTGGGATGTGTCCATATGTCTGTCGAAGGGATGTCCACAATGTAGTGCGTTTCCGCAAGATCTCAGCTTGGTCACCGCTTTGTCCAAGTGCATACTGATACACATTGATAGTGTCTACCCAGCCCCCTGCACACCAAGCCCTAACATGAAGGAGGCGTCCCGCAACAGGATCATGAAATCTAATGTAATCTTGTGGGAACACAGTCTTACGCAGCAAAGTCATGACACCTGCATGGGCTCTCTTGGCATCCGTGCCTATGCCAGATCCGATGCAGTGATAGCCACGTGTGTCAAAGTCCATCTGTTGCCTGTGCCAGGTCTCTTGAAGAAAAACAATGTCGTAAGGGTGCTCGTCGAGCCACGTGAACAACTCATCTTTGAGGGAGCTGAGACCACCACAATTCCAAGATATACAGGAGAGCGAAAACTGCGATGAGGCACCAGTGCTTGCAGCGTTGATCCTGGAAGCGCGCCCAGAGTGCTGCGTACCACCTGCCTGATACTGTCCCATGAGAGCATGTAAATCACATGTCTGTCCTCGATACTGTGTCGTGCCATGTACTGTCGCCCTGGCCACAGCACGCTTAAAAGCTCGCTTTCTGTAAAAGGAAAAAGGTTTGCCGCAAGGTCGGCCTGATTCGCCTGTTTTCACGGGGCTTCGTGGTTCCTGATCAACAAGTGCATCCCCGTTCCCAGAGGCTCGGCGGGGCCCCCAACCCTCGCTTCTATCGAAAACATGAAAAGATGTGTCCTCCTCATACTCGACCTCCGGATTTGGGACCGGAGCGGCCATCTCTACCGCATGTATTGCTGCTGCATCTGTCGTGTCACGTTCCATGAGAAATCTGCTGAGTCCGCTGTAATGAAAACCATGCGAAAACGACCAAGGGAAAAGAATACCAAGCAAAATCCAAAAGTAAAGCATGCGTGTAGATCAGATGTGAGTCAGAGGCACCGACGTCAGCTGAAAACCATGCACCTACGCAATGCTACAGCTACGCGCGCCGCCCACCCCAACTCGCAGCAAACTGCTCGGGCCGAGAAGCTTGATTCACTTGGCTTTTCCTTCTCTCGCAGCGCTCAGTCTTGAGTAGAACGCCTAGCGTAGGCCCAGCATGCGCAAGGTAGTTGTTATGCGCAAGGCATCTTTCAGATGCACAGGGCACCCCGTGCCGACAGCACTAGAGCGAGTGCACCATACACGTCCGGCCCGAAAGCTCAGCAACGCGTATGCTACAGTGTAACAAAAAGCACTAAGTCAAGGATCCCTAAAGGCAAACGACATGGCAACAAAGTACACTGTACAACTAACGGTTTCTACCGGTGCTCAGTGGACTCAGGACTCAGAAATAACATGAAATGAATGAAAAGCCATATCGCATCATGCAGTGCCCCCAATGGCACTCTCCTCGACTCTGCAAAGAAAGACTGCATCACAATCACGAGCATAAAGGGTTGTATCACTCAGTTTGACAGGCTTGGCAATCTTACCATTGGTATGTGCATGCCATCCAGTCTTCTTTGAGCTCGCCCAGTAACGAGCACCGAAAGGATCACCAGTTGCACCATGCACGACCACAGACATGAGCTGATACGGTATGTTGTAAGTTGCAACACTCTCCGCATGAAAACATGGGACATGAACTGTTGTCGGCGCTTTGCCCTGGTTGATCAATCGCCACTCACCCGATGTACTGCAGAGCCACCTTGGGGAAACAACACAAAGGATATCAGGAGCCTGAACAAGTGCACAGCGAGCCTCCTGTGTACGCCATTCTGAGAAAAGTGCACTCATGTCCAGATGGCATGTGTTCCCCAGGATTTCAGCCTGCAAGCAAATCGGTTGCCATGTGTCGCCAGCTTGGTTGCAAACGAACGAGCCATCAGGAGCAGCCGTTCTGGCCTCCCATCGTCCTTGCATGGACTGAGCCGCAGCCTTTGGCAGAATGTATTGCAGCCAGCCTGTGATGGTGGGTGTTGTCGAGTCCCAGCCTTGGAGCCATGACCGCCATGGCAGTGAAGAAGACAACCTGAACGATGTGCCCATAGCAAGAAATGACTTAACGGCAGAAGCGAGGCGACCTGTGAGGAAGTCCACATCATATTTGTCAGCACCTGCCATAAGCCAAGCAAGCATGCATACCACCATGTAACCATGTCGATCATGCAAACTGAAAGCTGTAGCGAGGATCCCGGCCACCTTTAGCGCCGAAGAGCTGCTGCCATCTTTGCGATGTGTTGGGCGAGCGGCTGTAAGTTCATGCGCTCGCCGCGAATCCGAACCCCCACCAAACGGAGAGCTGCGCTGCCCGTCAAGCTGCGGAGCAAGTCGTGGGCTTGCTGTGCTCGAGTGCCCCTCATAGCCACCGCCAAAATGAAGGGGAGAGTATCCCCCGTCACCGATTCGGTGAGCTTCCGTGTCGAGTGGAAGCGGTGAATGAGCTCCTCTTTCCCTGCCAACACCAGTTCGCAATCTGCACCATCTGAGTGTGGCCGACTGGTGGGCGGGTGGCATCCAGCTCCAATCGACGGCTCTCCGCATTCCATTGCTGAAACGTCCAATGGAGCTCCTTCTCGCCCTGCACTTTGATCCACCCCTGGGCCTCCATCTTCTTTACTGTAGGCTCGTCCTTGGTCATCGTGTCGAGGCGGGTGATCCATTCCGCAAGGAGGCTTTTGATTAAGGCGACCCGAAGGGAGCTGGTCACCGTCGGCGGGGTTTTGTCCCGCCCCGTTTTCCAAGCCTGCGCCACTTGCCACAGCGGAGCCAGTAGGCCATGTGTCCCTGACTCGAGATGCAACAGGAATTGCTTCTCGGTTCGGATAAGTTGCAGCTCCTCCTCTTGTTTCAAGGTCAGCCTGCACAAGGCCTCCACCAGTTGCTCCATGGTCGGCCGCGGATGCCTGTGAAGAGCACCCCAGCTGTTGGCATCCCAGCTGTTGACACCCCAGCCGTTGTAGTCCCAGCTGCCCCAGCTGTTTTGCCCCCGTCCTCGGCCGTCGTTGCCGTGACGTCCGCCCTTGCCTTTGCCCCCTTTCGGAGGCTGCTTGTCCTTGTTCATCTCGGGCTCCGGTCGTGACCTCTTGCCTCGGTTCGGCATCTCCTGATCCTCCTTGGGCTCCCACTCCGACGGGTCCAGGAAGTTCACCTCGCTGAGTTTCGCCAGAGCCGGCAGGCAGCCAGCGAACACCTCCTGAATCTCGGTGTCCAGCATGCCTGTCCATACAAAGTTTGAGGGCATACTGCTGAAGAGGAACACAGGTATGCGCGTGATCGGCCTTCTTGATGCCTTTTGCCCCACACAGGGAGCAGGGAATGGTGATTGAGCCCGTCCACTCTGCACATAAGAGCTGCACTCGGGGTTGCATGCGTTGCCAAAGCTCACCGTGCTGTTTTTGCATGTGTGTTTTGAAGCGCTGCTTGGAAATATCTGCAAGACAAACCTGACAAGTGCCGCGCAAAGGTTTTACATCCTCAGCGGAAGGGTGAGGGGTACCGGCCAAGTCGGTCACATCGGCGGCCTCCGGAGGGCCTCCATTAACGAACCAGGTCATGGCCAGCTGAAACAAAGCCGGGCATGTTGCACGATGATCCCTGCCTGCTTGGTCCTTGTGGCCACACCATCGGCATGTGCCCTTAACGGGCGGGAGGTTGTTCATGCACCAGACACGTACACGACCACTATGTGCCTGCCACTCATCGGGATGGACACGCCCATAATGAACCTTCATGTAATTCTCATTGGGGAGCCATGTGCGACACAGTGCACACCTCTCGTTGAGCTCGGTCCAGAGGTCCGGGGGCGGCAGCTGATGAAAGACCTCCGGGAAAACAATTTTATCCTCCAGAACTTTGGCAATCAGCGGGGGGTGGACGTCCTCATACTCAGCTTTTGCTGTAGCCTGGCACCGGCCAAGCTCAACATGCCGCTGCAGCTCCTCCCATAGTCTGAATTTGCGCCCGCAATTGATGCATTGCGGAAGGCCGTCCTTGCCGTGAAGCAGCCGATCAAAACGATCACCCTTCGGCTTGTCCTCTCCGCGCCTGTGTGCAGTGGCACGGTGCTGGCGTAGGGACGCTGCAGTGGGAAAGCATTTGCCACAGTCAGGGCAGGGCAGGTCGTCAGCAGCACCCGCAGTGGAGTCCGGCTGGACGAAAGTCTGGAACTGCTGAAGAATACTTTCCTCATGTGCACGCAGTGCCGGATCAAGTCTGACATCGTGTGGTGGGAGTTTGCCTTGGAGCTCGCGGGTCTTTTCCAAAACTCGGGCCTGCCTGCGCATAAGCATCTGCAACGGAGATTCCAGGCCGAGCCTTTCGAGAAATTGAGCGTCGGGCTCCAGTGTGAGATGGCGGGGGCTCCCCGCGATGGCCCTTAGCTGTTTGATCAACTCGACCCTGATCATGGATGCACTCTTGTCTGTGAGACCTGAAGCCGTCAGCGCGTAGAAGACGGTTGGCAGAATGTAGGCTTTCCACAAGCGGATCCTTTTATGCAAGGGCCAGGCACGCTTAGAGTGCAGATGTTGTCGCAGGCGATGGTATGTGGCAATTCCGGCCTGGCGTCTATGGGCTGCTGTGTACTCTTCAAACCTGGCAAAGGAAATAATGGCGCCGAGGTAGACGTGTTGAGACTTGATGGGCAGGGTGAGTTCCGGGCCCAACTTCAGGTGACATTTGCCCTCCACCTTCGTGGTGATTTTGTTGCGCAGGGCCGTTGCTTGGGAGCCGGCCAGCCGAAGAAGAATGGCTGTCTTGTCTTTGCTCACTTGTAGCCCGTGGCCCTCGAAAAGATCAACAATGTCCCTGGCTTCGGCAATGGCCTGAGCAGCCTCGGTCTTGGCGCGAAAAGTCCATTTGAAGAGGTTATCGTCGGCATAGCCCACCAGGTGTTGCCTGCACCACCCGGAGCCAAATTTTTGCTCAAGGAGATGTGTTAGGTAGATGACCACACAGTTCCACAATGATGGTGAAAGTCGGCATCCCTGCCTGATTCCTTGCGTTGTGCCAAAGCGCTGAGTGTGACCTTCACGCTGCACGACATAATGGGCAGCATGGACCCATTGCAGGAGTAAATGGCGAAGCTCAGCCGGGACACCGATGTGGATCAAAGAGGCCTCCAGCAATCCCCGGTCGACCCTGTCAAAGGCCTGGGTCAGGTCGATGCTTAGGAACATCCCCCCTGCCAATCCCAACGACTTGTTCCCGGCTTTCTGCTCGTACAAGGAGCGTTGTTGAGCCTGGCACATGCTACGAACAGCCCGGCAGTGCATGAAAGCATGCCCCAGGGCCTGCTGCACCGACCTGTTGGGAAGAAAGCCATACTGATGCTGCTCCTCCATGTGCGGGATAATGTAAGTGTCGAGCTGGCTGCGAAGGATACCCGTCACTGCCTTTCCGACCGGATCCAGAAGAGCAATTGGTCGAAGATGTTGAGGGGCATTCCCTGCCTTGTTGGGCTTTTGAAGAAAGGTGAGCCATGCATCGGCCCATGCGACAGGAACCGTGGCCGCTGCTTGTCGCCATGTCTGCATCAGCCCTCTCTCCAGCACCTGTGCCACAGAGGGCGCAGCACAACTCCATAGAACATGTGGAGCATAATGGGCGGGAGCGGCTTTGTTGGCCGGCAGGGCCTCGAGAGCAGACTGAATCGCCTCCGGCCGGATGTCAAAGGGAAGCGGGTCCGGTGCCTGGCTCGGGATAGCAGCTGTGGTAACCTCTTTCCAGTACGTGGCTAGGGCCTTAGCCTCGGCTTGCGGCATCAGCAGTGCACCCGTGCTCGATCGAAGTTGTGCTCGCGTGCGTGGCTGTTTGGGGGCATGCCTGCGCAACAAGAAGAAAAGTTGATCCACGCGGTTGTGGTAGTCAGCAGCCTCGGCCCGACGAAGAAGTTCGTTGAAACGGTACCGCCGGAGGAGTCTGCTGTTGCGGGCCACAATTTTATGCATTTGCTGAAAGCGAGAATGGCACCTCCAAGCACGAAAGCACGCACGGAGACCTGAGACACATAGTCGAAACTGCTGGCTAGCAAGTCTGCGCTGCAACCACATGTGCTTAATGGTGCCAACATGTTGGTGATGCTCCCAGGGCGGCTGCAAACTGCTTTGGCGCTCGATGGAAAAGTTTTGCCGGCCGGCCTTCAGGATGATGCTGTTCACTTGCTCGGGTGTGTAGACAGAAACTTGTCTCAGCTCATGTTCCACCTGTGCCTGGAAGGCTTGCACATCCGGGCCATTTTGAGCAATCCTGGCAGTGAGCAAAGCACACTTCCATTGCGGCCAGGGTGGTTGAGGCCGAGGCTTCACGAACTGGAAACGCCTGAAGTGCAAAGTGACTGCCACAGGTAGATGCCGTCCACCTCCACGCCAGCGAGCCACAGGACAGTCACCAATGATGCGAGAGGCTGTCCTGAGTGTAGCGCCTCGCCGCCTGACCATGACATAGTCCAGGAAGGAGCGGTACTGCTTATCGCGCTGCGTAAGTACATGGGTGTAGCTACCATGCTTGCCGAAAGTGTTCACAGCCTGCAGTCCAAAGTCCTGCAAGATGCCCAGCATGTCGGCTGAGTCCAAGGAGTCCTCCTTCTCGCCATCGCACGTGCCTGCACCTATGCAAGGAGGGGTGGGCTGGGTGATCGTGTTGAAATCGCCACAGAGAAAAAGCTGGCTGCCTCGAGGAATCTGACCAAGAGTGGTGCGTAATGCCATCCACACCTTTGAGCGCTTCTTCACGATCTCGGTGTCGCTCTCTCTACTCCCCCATGCATGCATGTAGGTGCCTACGATGTCCACCCAGCCGTGCTTGCTCTGCGCCCGAACATGTAGAACTCTACCTGCAACCACATGATTGTAGCGAATGGTGCCGCTGTCAAAGATCGACCTCTTGAGCATGATCATGACTCCTGCCTGTGCTCTGGACACCGAAGTGCCCACGCCGCTCTGAATACATGTCCACTCGCCCGCAACAAACTCCGAGCTTTCCCTCATCCAGGTCTCCTGCAAGCAGACCACGTCACATGAACATGTTTTGAGCCATGTGTAAAATTCGTCCTTGCACGTGGAAAACCCGCCGCAATTCCAAGTCAAAAGCTTGATCGCCGCTGATGCCTGGGAGCTTGCACCGGATGTGGCTGGTTTTGTTGAAGGAGACTGCTGCGCCGTTGGGCGGTACTGGGCTTGAAGCTCGTGAGCCTGCATGATACGACCACGGTAGCGAGCAAAGCCATCCCGACCTGCTCGCGCTACTGCTCGTTTGTATGATCTCTTCCGGGAAAAACTGTAGCTATGTTGGCCTGTAGCACAAAATTTCGCAGCACCGGTCGCCACGTCTTCATCATGATGTATGCTGCTCCTCAGAGACGTGTGCTTCGCCTCCGAACCCTCGCCTCTGCTGTCCAGAGCTCCCTGTTGAGACCCAGACGACACAGCCGACGGACTTGGGACCGCCGCGGCCACATCACATCCATGTAAAGCTGCTGCTGTTGTAGTGCTCTGCTGAATAAAATTGTCATGATGCATGCCAAATAAGGAAATCGTGAAAAACGTGTAAAGGAAAACCATGAAAAGTTGCACCAAGCGCAGTGAACAGAGGCACCGACGGCTGCTGAAAACCATGCGAAGCTACAGCTACCCCGCCCCACCCACCACTCGCAGCAGAAACAGGATTGAGCCGAGAGGCTTGATTCACTTGGCTCTCGGTGTAGTCATCAATCGGCCTCGTCTTATCAAGAACTGATCCATCAGCTTGCATGCTTGTTTGCCGAATACCGAGTGAGCACAGCACCTTCTGGTAATGGAAAGTCGTGTGGCCCATCAAGCCATCCCCTCTCTTTCTCATCACAGGTGAGCGCGAAAACTTCTTCGGTAACTTGCTTGTCCTTGGAAGATCTGCAGGCTCCCAAGATTGCCTTATTGATCGATGATGCATTGTCACGGACTTCCTTTGGCGTCAAAGTTGCAAAAGTGTTTTTCTTTGGCATGGCACCAGAAGCAGGCAATGGACCCATAATGTCAAAGCCTCTCTTCACCTCACCAGGCAGCCCACTGTCAACATGCCCACTTCATCAAGCATTTCTTTGCACAGCCTAAGGTCCTTGCCCTACAAGACTTTTGCGCAATGACTTACTGACACACTTCGCAAGCACATTAGAGATGCCACTGTAAAGGTGCTTGGGATGCTCAGCAAAGCATGCTTGCTGCACAAACTCGTCACAAGACTTTGGCACGGAGAAAGTCATTTCTCGAATCGAAGGAAGGTCAGTTTCACCCCCGAAGAGCACTGACTGAAGGCACTTGCTTCCAGTATGGACAGCAAGACAACAAGCTCAGACGACAATGGCATAAAGGATTTTAGAACACCAGTGGCGGCATCGCACCGGTTCCTAAAGCACAACAGTACCAGAAACAGGCGGAACAATCAGCAAGATGCGTTTTCCTCTCGCCTGCACATCAGCCACAAAGGACGGCACACACCCAAAAGCTTTAAAGCGCTCAAGCAACGCTCTGGCAAATCCATCGCATGGGTCAGGTGGGTACATCAAGCAATGCCAGCCGACAAAGCTCAGAATAGTTATGGAAGAAAGCAGAGACTTCAGAGTCGATGCTGTTTCTTCAAATTTCGTGGTGCAGGTCACTTGAAGGAATGGAAGTGCTTTGGCATAGCCTTCCATGTCACTAGTGTTGGTGTTCTGTCAAAGAAGAACAGCAGACTACAAACAAGCAACAAAAAACTGAAAAGTGAGACCAAAGGCAAAGCTCTACAAGAGCTGCGGCGCAAAGACTTTGCCGGTGTTAGCCGTTCAACCCATCTACTATGGTGGTACCTTAATGCGTCCTACAGTTTTCGTGGTTTTTCGAACACTGAAAATGGCCTCGCGCGATAGTACAATTTTGGAATTGTTTGTCCACAAATCTTGAAACCTTCCAAACCCCCCGCTCCCCCCAAATTCAATGTTTACATAGAAGCGCCCAATGAGCATTGCGGCACACATTGCGGCACACATTGAAATTGAGGGGGCGGGAGAGAGGTTTCTGAATATGCAAACAAGAAGACTGTCAATGACTGACTGCTGCTGCACTCGATAAAAACCATAACTCCTTCATAAAGTCTCGTTATAGATCCTCTCCAAAGTCCTGCCTGATCTTTCCCTAAACTCTCGCATGGCCAAGGCCCCCGTAAACTTCTAGATAAACTACCTTACAATTTTTTGCACATGCTACCCCTCATGTTTTTCGTGTATGCTCCTCCAAATTGCTTGCAGACCCTTCCCTAAATCCTGCGTTGCAGATCCCGCCCGAAACTCTGATCCTTCCCTAAACTCCCCCTTTTGCATTCCAAACCCTGCCTCGCAGATCACACCCCAATGTCTCCTGTAGCACAAACTCCGATTCTTCGTGCGTATTTCCAGTGTTTTGGTGGTTCTGCAGGCCTTCCAACCCTTAGCCCTCCAGATACAGTAATGCCCCAAGCTCCACCTGGCACCCGAATAGATGCCCGAATAGTACCCGAAAATAGTGCCCAAAAAAAGTGCCCGAATGAACCCTTCACAGTGGCTAAATACATTTCCTTTTGTAAAGGAAGGAAAATGTCTTTTTTCTTCGCGAAAAATCATTTGGGCACTATGAAGAGTTCATTCGGGCACCAGTTCGGACACTGCAGTATTTCGAGCACTATTCGGGCACTATTTGAAGGCGTCTACTATTCATGCACCGCAGCCTTGCCAAGTCTCTCTCAACACCAGAAGGTTCAGAACGATCCGCAGGTAGAAGGGCAACTGTGGTCATGGAGCAAGCGAGGAGGTAGATGGCGAGTGCATCGTTGGTGGCCGAAAGTGCCGAGATGACGCCGATGTCGAAGGTGAGAACAAATAGGCCATGATGATAGTTGTCTCCAACGTGAAGGAACCCGTAGAAGAGGTTAGTGTGACGGTCAATGAGCTCGGGCGATCACGGATCACGTCATCCAGATGTCGTGTAGTCTGCCGAATAGAATTTCCTGGACTGCCATCAATAGGGGGGTGAGTTGCAGCCACGGCGTAAGCGAACAAGTTCTGGTGGTAGCCTGAGAGCTGGTGCACAAATCCGCAAGGGAGTACGCCACCAGTGCCGCCGACGTCTACTTTCGGTGCGGACCGACTGCAGCACACGCGGCTCCAAATGTGGGGTCGAACAAGCTTAGCAATTTTGGCTTCGCTTGAGTGGCCCCCCCTCTGTTCTCTCATGTCTATCACTTCCACAGCAAGCTGTCTGTCGGAAATTCTTGTTGGAGAACGATTTTTCCACACTGGATGCCTGCCTGTGGGCGAGTCGCCTTGATGTAGCAGTGTGGAACGCACGGGCTTGGGCTTGGGCCCCAAAATGAGGAATTCGTGACCCCAAAATAGGGGCCGCCAAGCAGCCCCGATTTTGGGGTCCTCTGGTTGCCAGTCAAATATGTTGAAGGAGGTTGACTGGATTTCGCGGCTCCTTTTCTGGGGCCGCGAGACGGCCCCATTTTTGGAGTCGCAAGTTTGATTCCTGCACCCACAGCGGCTGAATCTTGTCAGCTGGCATGTTATTAATTGCATTGAATTTGGGGAGCGTCTGGTGGAGGACTGTTTGGAAGGTCGGAACTTGTCCAAAGCAGCTGTGTTGCTTGCCCTTAACAGTGCTGCAGCCTGCGGAATGCAACTGTGGAGAGCCGACCTCACGAAGCCAGAATTGCTTGTGTTTTGCAGGCTTTAAAATGGGATCGCCCGACAGCCCCATAACTGTGCAGTTGAGATCGTAAAGACAAGGAATTTTGCCAGAGGTGACTCTAGCATTTCTGAACAGAGCAGATCAAGCCATGCAGAGTTATGGTATCGAGAAGGTGGACCGGAACAGATCATACAAGAGCGGCGGAATTTTCTGGAAGGTATCTCCACCAGATTTGAAACAGGACTTCTTGAGCTGTGTAGAGTTATGGTATCGAGAGATGTGGCTGACGATTCGGAATTTGTGCACGGTGCTTAACTCCAAAACCCCTCATGCACGACATGGGCTCACCTGGCTCTTGCTAGATTTTTTTTGTTCTTTTAGCAGAGACCCATTTGCAACATTCTTTGTTTCTACCTTGCTTCTGATTGCATTTGCTGTTGCTAGACCAGTGGTTGCGTTCCCTCAAAAGACCGAACTGCACTTTTCACTGTCTTGGAGATGCACTTCTGCTTCAATTTCTTTTTGCTTTCTACTGTCAAATTGATTTTTTTTTGCTTCATGGTTGCGTGTGTCTTTGCGCAGGATGGTTGCATCCGCTGTCACAAAAAAAGATCGCTCGCAGCAGGCGCTCCAACCAACTTTGTTGCTCAGCAAATCCACATCTCTGGCAACACAGACCCGTGCCTGCCGCCCCCGCAACGCAGATTTTTCGGTCTGTCTCAAATGAAGAACTGCTTTTGAATCAGGTTAGTAAGTTTCGTTTTGCTTCAAATGTTTTTAGTTCAAGAAAAAGATCAAGTGCTGCGCACTCTGTTTTTCTTGTTAATGGACTTCTGAGAGCTGTGAAGCGCCACGGCCTCGCCTGTGCAAGGTTGGAGTTGAGAGTTCTCCCAGAAGGTACCTGTGCCTGAGAAAGCATCGACATTGACCTGTTTGGACCAGATCCTGTTTGTCCCATGAGTCCGCCTGCAGCTCAAAGGTGGAAGTGTTCTAGCTGCTGTGTCTGGAACGTGTTCGGCCACCAGTGCCGCCGACGTCCACTTTCGGTGCGGACCAACTGCAGCACACGCGGCTCCAAATGTGGGGTCGAACAAGCTTAGCAATTTTGGCTTCGCTTGAGTGGCCCCCCCTCTGTTCTCTCATGTCTATCACTTCCACAGCAAGCTGTCTGTCGGAAATTCTTGTTGGAGAACGATTTTTCCACACTGGATGCCTGCCTGTGGGCGAGTCGCCTTGATGTAGCAGTGTGGAACGCACGGGCTTGGGCTTGGGCACCAAAATGAGGAATTCGCGACCCCAAAATAGGGGCCGCCAAGCGGCCCCGATTTTGGGGTCCTCTGGTTGCCAGTCCAAATATGTTGAAGGAGGTTGACTGGATTTCGCGGCTCCTTTTCTGGGGCCGCGAGACGGCCCCATTTTTGGAGTCGCAAGTTTGATTCCTGCACCCACAGCGGCTGAATCTCGTCAGCTGCGCATGTCATTGATTGTATTGACTTTGGGGAGCGTCTGGTGGAGGACTG